GTGGTTCCTCGTCTTGCGATGCGAAACAGACTATATGCTCTAATTGCAAGAAACCCCGCCATACATCCGAATTTTGCATTCAACCTGGCGGTGGTATGGCTGGCAAAACGATTGCTGAGGCCCAGCAAGCACGCGATGCTAAATGAGGCAAGAAACCCAAAGAGAGATCCAAGGACTCGTCAAAAGGTCCTGCCAGCAGCATTATTCAGTCCGGCAACCAGGCCTTCATTGTCAACGCAGATGGCAAGGCTCACAAAATCGTTAGCTCCACCTCTTCTAACGCTGCTTCATCTTCTGGTGATTCTGCTCATTTTCTTGTCACTGACAACCTGGATGCTATCGACCCCCTTGTCCTTGAATCAATGTGCACAGCGGACATTGACGAATATGCTCATGTCACTGAACATGCTTGGCTTGTTACTCAGGAAGCTCTCCACACCTCTGTTGACTGGCGTGAGAGGAGGAGAAACTTAGATGAACTGGATCTCGCTGCCATCACAGCAGCACCACTTCCTACCACGACTCGCTTATCTGATGTCTCCTTGGAATCTTTGCCTTCCTTCTTGATAGTGCTTGTACCAGGCATATATCCCCTGAGTGTTCCGATTTTGCCACTCTGCATCCTATTGCTGACAGAACTGTGACCGGCATTGGAGGCTCATCCATCAAAGCTCTCGGCATTGGCACTATCAAACTTATCGTCGCAAAGGGATCATCCATACTGCCTGAAAATGTTCTTTTCATTCCTACGTCCACCGTTAGACTTATTTCAATTGCTTGTGTCACTGAATCACTCAGATGTTCCGTCACTTTCGACGTGTCCACTGTCAACCTCCAGAACTGTTCTGGCTCATTATTCGCCACCGGCATGCCTTCCCAACCGCAAACTCTATCGACTTGATTGTACTTGATTGTCGACTGAACATGCATTCCACACTGCCAACCTCAATACCTGGCACCGTTGTTTAGGTCATGCATCGAACCAGTGCATACTGGATCTTGCTACCAAGCAATTAGCTGAAGGTATGTGCATAGATCTCTCTCAAACACCTCTCAAATGTGACAGTTGCATATGCGGCAAACAGGGTCAAACCCCAGTACCGAAAATGCATCAGGGAGAGAGATTGAATCGCAGGTTGGGGATCATTTATGTGGATTTGACGGGACCTGAGGCGGTGAAGTCTGCTAGCGGAAACCTATACATTATGAACATCGTCGACAACAACTCTAGTCACCCATGGACATTCTGTCTTAAATTAAAATCCGACACGTTACCTACTCTCCAAACTTGGGCTCGTCAAGCTGAAGCTGAGAGCAGTGAGAAAATCGGTATCATTCGTATTGATGGTGGTGAACTAGACTCCGACGCAATGGCACTTTGGTGCAATGCTAATGGTTATACCCTACAGACCACTGCACCTTACACATCTGCCCATAATGGACGTGCCAAACGCATGCACCTCACGATAATGAACAGGATGTGTGCTATGCACGCTTCAACACCACAAGTCCCTCCTAATCGTTGGGACGAATTTGCCATGACTGCAGGTTATTTATCAGCCCGGACGCTTGGGAAAACACCCTATGAAGTATGGCATGGCAGGAAACCGGACCTATCACACCTCCGTGAAATCGGATCTCGCGTTTTTGCCCTTATCCTCAAAAGCAACCCAAAGATCTACGAGTGTTCCTTTGAATGCATTCTTGTTGGTTACTCCCCCAATTCCAAAGCATATCGACTTTACCATCACATGACACACCAACTTTTTGAATCGTTCCATGTTAAATTCATTGAACGGAAGGACGATATCCCTCGCCCTCTTTATCCTGGTCGTGTCATTGATCTTCCATCTACAGATCCCCCTGGTAACCCTTCTGATGCATCACAAACTACCCCAATAGTTTCCTCTTCTCCAGATGTGCCCGCTTCTTCCTCTGTATCTCATTCTCCCTCTCTTTCTTCTTCTTCTCCTTCTATTTCTGTTTCTTCTTCGCCCAAGCACACCATTATTTCGGATGAGGAGGAGCTCATTAACGATGCTCAGGGCCAAGTCTGGACTGTACCCGGCAATGATGATGAGGTACCAGTCCCTGTACGTGATGACCCTACTAATGTTGGTCCCATAGGTGACATTGGCAATGTACCACGCCGATCTGCCTGGACGTCGGCTCCTACAGCTAAGGCAGCTGAAATTCTATCAAGCACTTACCCTGTGTTGCACAAGCCGTTACAGAATCTCATGAAGCTGGTCGCCACCTCAAGGAACAACGCGCACAGGCTAAGTTCGAACGCGCACAGGCTAAGTTCGAACGGCCTCAACTGGTCCTGGATCAACAAGCTTCATTGACTAACATTGGCCCTCCTTCCACCTCTAATCCTACCATTCCCCCTGCTGTTCCTACTGATGCCGTCCCTGACGACTCACTACCGCAGGTACCTCCTCTGGACCCAGAATTGGATTTCGTGGCTTTCTGTGAAGCTTACGCGACCGAATTGGCATCCCCCTTGATCAACCCTTGCAATCCTGACGAGCCTACCTTCTGTCAGGCAATGAAATCCCCAGATGCCGACAAATGGGCCTTTGGTATTCAAGATGAACTGAAGAGTCTCAAAGATATGGGTGTCTATGTATTTGTTCCTCGTTCTGACGTTCCCCCAGGTCGTAAGATCCTACATGGCAAATGGGTTCTCAACCTCAAGCGAGATAAAGTTGGCGCCCCCGTACGGCACAAGGCACAATATGTTGTTTTAGGCTATGAGCAGATTTTTGGTCAAGATTATGCCGATACAACCTCTCCTACAGCCCACATGGAATCTGTTCGCCTCCTTCTCAACATTGCGGCCGCCAAGGACTGGGATCTTCAGCAAAGCAACGTCAAGACCGCTTTCCTTTATGGTCTATTACCTCCTGACGAAGCGCAATACTTGGAACAACCTGAAGGCTTCGCCGAACCTGGCAAGGAAGACTGGGTATGGTGCCTACAGCGCGGACTCTACGGCATGAAGCAGAGCGGCCGTATCTGGAACAAAACAATGCATAAAGCTATGTTAGGTTGGGGCTTTAAGCGACTACATGCTGATCCCTGCGTCTATTATAGAGTCTCTTCCATCAGAACGGTCCTTTCCGCTGTCCATGTTGACAACTTCCTTATTACCTCCAGTACACCTGAAGCATCCCAAGCTTTCAAGGAGGAGCTCAAGTCTCTCTGGACAATTTCGGATCTTGGTGAAGCGTCCTTTTGTGTTGGGATTGCCATCTCTCGCAATCGCGTCGACTGGACCATTTCTATTTCTCAAACCGCTTTAATTGACTGCATCATCCAACAGTTTGGCCAGACTGATGCAGACCCAATTTCTACACCTATGGATCCTTCTGTTGCGAAGAGCCTTACTCGGCCCTCTCCTTCAGATCCTCTGCTGTCGGCAACTGACTCATATGATCTAGGCCGTATTCCTTATCGCTCCCTCATTGGCTCTCTCATGTATTTGGCCGTTGGCACCTGCCCTGACATTTCTTTTGCTGTCGCCCACCTTTGCCAATTTCTTGATTGCTACTGCTGTGCACATTGGAATGCTGCCCTACGCGTTGTCCGGTACCTTAAGGGTACTCGGCTTCTTGCTTTGACACTCGGTGGTGACCCCGATTTGGAGCTCGTTGGCTTTTCTGATTCTTCTTACACTGATTGCCCTGATACTGCCCGCTCTACCATGGGATATTGTTTCTCTGTGGGCAGTGCTATTTTCACTTGGTCTTCTCGTCGTCAGAAAACAGTCACTAATTCTTCTTGTGAAGCAGAATACATTGCACTTGGCAAAGCCGGTCGTGAAGCGATCTGGTTACGGCAATTCCTACGTGAAGTTCACTTCTTGAAGACTACTCCTACTGTCGTCCTCTGCGATAACAATGGTGCCAAGTTGTTGTCTTCCGATCCTACCCACCATTCACGTAGTAAACATATCGACGTCCGCCACCATTTCATTTGCGAGCGCGTTGAAGACGGCTCCATCATGGTTTGGCACGTTCCCAGCCACGACAATGTCGCCGACATCTTTACGAAGGCCTTACCTTGTCCTGATTTTATGCGCCTCTGTCCCTTCCTAGGCCTCCAGTGATGCTTGTGCGAGGAGGAGAATTTTCTGGTTGGCATCTCGATTTCAATCTCCTTCATTTAGGTAGATTTCATTTCGACCATGCCAGCCGGTAGCTTTTTCCCACTGGGTTTTGATGCACCCGGCGCTCGGATTCTACCCATACATTTATTCTATCCATCATCCTATCCTATCCTCCATTCATCTCTCGTTTTATTTTCTTTGCTTTCTTTTTTCTTCTTTTCTTTGTCCTCCCGATCTACGCTTAGAGGAGGAGTGTTGAACCATTGAGCGCTGCAGCGTGATCGTGATTGAACCTTACATAACCCACTACTATAAGTACTGTACAGGGGCATACTACTTTCCTCAGTTGTTCTATCATCTGGCTGAGGTGAGTATTGTGCCCCGCCGTTCTTACACCATTAGTACTTACCCACATATCTCTCATAGGATATTCTAGGTACAGTACTAATGCCAGTTGTTCTATCATCTGGCTGAGGATATTCTAGTCTACTTTCAACATAGTAAAATTTTCCCTGGCATGGTGGAGGAAACATGTGTTTACTTTTGTTTGGATCGCAGGTCAATGGTCATTGGGTTGAATGGACCTTCCCAGCGTCAGTACCTGCCTCATCGCTGCGACAATAGCAAGCGCCTACACCTTTAATTCCGCTTTTCGAGTGCAGAACATGTATCTACATGTACGAGTTTGGTCACTCTACTTTGTGGTCGCCGCCTAAAGTTGCCCCCGTCCTCTGCCGATCGAGCTGTGGAGTCGCACAAACCTTTATGAAAAGCGGTCATAAACGATGTGCCGAGGCGAAAAAATCGTCGAAAGCCGCGAATCATGCGAATACTTTGATTCATTCCTCTCGTCTCTAGAACCCCCCCTCTCAAGTCGCTCTTTACCATGCGTTCCTTACTCGCCTTTTTCGCCTTAGCTGTCTCGGCCGGTGCTTCTGCTCTTGTTTTTCCAGCGGGTAAACCTGCGTGCATAGCAGAGTACTGTGCTGGGAACTTCCCCGACGTCGTGCAGCCCCCTGCTCCCACCCCATCTGTTCCCTCTCTTCTAGATGCCTTGACGAACGCCGAAAGGCTAGTTCGCGGTATGCCCTTGAAGGCTCCGGTACGCAGGAGGAGTGGTGCGTATCCTCTCTTTCTTCATGACAAGTCAGTACGACTCACCCTCCTCTTCCTAGATTTCGTCCGCCGCTCGACGCCTTCCTCTGTCCCCGTCGTTCAAGTCGTAAAGACCGTAACCAAACGCGGAGTTATCGAGGTCAAAAACAGCACGGGAGACTGTCTTGGTTATACTTCCAAGAATTCTCTGAGCAAAGCCCAGCTCCAATGTGAGTCGGCCATCGACAACGCCACCACCGTTACTTTCCCCATCCAGGAATCCTCGATCTCAGCTTCACAAGTCCGGATCACCATGGAGGTAGCCTCTTCCGTCTTTCCTGTTTCATGTGGATGTTGATATGGATTTGACTTTTTCATAGGATTCGGATGAGATCGGTTTCCCTCTCCTTGGATTGGTGCAGGGTGCTAATGACAGGCGTTGATATTAGTTTGGAATCTAACAAGTATGTCCTTTACCATCGCGTGTCAGTGTCAACGCTGACGAAGTATAGTTTCCTTTATCTATCGGGAATTGCCCACCCGGAATGTCCGTCTCCTTTGCCACTCGTGGCTTGCACGTTGTATCTCATCTCGATTTGTCACAGCCGTCGCTGGCGCGGTCCCGGCTAACATCTTCAACGTCTACACTAATGTGACGACTTTGGTTCGAGCAGCAGAGTCCGATGTTGTACGCAAACAAACCCCTTAACACCCCTTCACTGTATGAACTCATTTTTTCTTGCAGTGGACCATCGACCTCACTACAAGCAACCTCAACCCTCAATGGATCAATTCCAATGGCTGTAAGCTCGGTGCTCACCCTCACATCTTGCAAGCACTCGATGTCTCTCCATTGAAAGAGTGTGCGATGGATTCCTCAGCTGACATTGCATCAGCAACGCTCCATGACGTTGAACTCAAATCGTTTACGTTTGCACTGGCTCTGCGTCGCCAACACCGCGCTCATGATTTTGAGGAGGAATGGCGAGGACGAACGAGCAGAAGTTGGGCAAGTCGATTGTGACAGGGCAGGTGCATTCCGTGGATTTGAAACGCGAATATGCGGTCGAGGAGCAAAGTGTATGCGGCGTTTGTTGAGCTGGGCGTGATGGGGCAGTGGTGCCATTGGCCGGAAGATCGTCGTGAGGCATGCTCGAGTATGCAACGCCGGAGTCGGTGGAGAGGTGGTGGATAGATAACGGTGGAGTCGGCAGCGTGGCGTCCGTCCTTTCGGACGTTCTCGTCTGAGAGTTGTTGATTCCACTGTTGAGGTGGATATCCAAAGACGACGCTTACAGATACTCTCCACCACAGCAAAACTCTTGATTTCAACCACCACGACGTTGTCGATAACATCGCCATGTTCACTACACCTGCACTCATTTGCTACTCTCGCGACCTTCAAGAAGCCACCCCGACCGAATCCAAGCTGAGGATTCACGAGTTGTCTGGCAGAACTGCGTACCCCATCCAGCCCCCTTCTTCCCCTCAAATCAACCTCTCGACAGCCTAGACCCCCTCCGTGACGCCCATGCACACCACCCGCTTTGCCGTGACATGGCTTTCTCTCTCCCTTCATATTTTCGATCCACAGCTCAAATGCATACGGCATATTCATTGTCATTCTCCCCTTCCTCCTCACCGCATACCCAGCCATCGTAAACGCGACGAGTCGACGTTCATCCCCAGATCGACGATCTGCTCTCGCAAGGAACATCCTGAACGCTCGAAGGACCTAATGAGTGGAAACAATCGTATTGAATTTGTGCGCGTTGACCTGGTGTTGGGTAGTCAACGCGGTTTCGCGGGATGTGTGGAAAGGCAGGGCGCAGGCGCAGTGGAGGATGATCGATGATCGATGAGGCCTTGAGGAGCCGATGTTAACTAGGAGGGGTAGGACTCAGTGGGTTGAATGAGCCGTCGCGGGTCATGTATTTGGGTTGTGTCGTCGATCGAGAGGATTGAGCGGCTGATGTGTATTACCTTCTCTCGTCCACGGAGTGTGTCTTCTGGGAGTGGAGATCTGGGTGGACAAAGAGACCTGGTGACCCAGTTGCATGGGTGAAGGACGTTCGAGGAAGATGCGTTGGAGAGGCGATAAGGTAGATTCCATGCCACTAGCGCTGTGGTGAGTTGGTCTACTGAAGTAGTCGCAATGTTGCGCATACAAGCGGACAAGAGGAGTGAGGGAGGGCCTAGGTGTTGTCACGTATGCTTGGACTCGATTCAACGGGGGCTGTTTGAGCCAAGATTGCCCTTTGCCCGCTCTCTCACTCAGCACACGACGATCAAGCACCCAGAGCAGAGCCCGACCCCCACTCCTCCGTCTGTCAGATGAGATCCTCGATGATCTTGCATCAGAGCTCGATCTCCACGAGGACCTCATCAACTTCGCTTTGGACATGCTTGTGCCAACATCGTCATACCCCGTCATACCCAATATCGAACCACCCGCGTCTGCAACGCCGGCTTCCAGCTATGGGCGCACCTCGCAAGACAAGCTGACATCGCCCGCAATATCCGCGAGGTGCATATATGCGAACGGCACAACTACACAGCGCCTGATCGTATGCCCACCACTCTCGTCGATCCTCAACTAGATCCTTCACCCCCTTCAGAGGCGGATCGTGTGCGGAATATATGTGAGGCTTTGAGCCATATGAGCGACTTACAGGTGTTCAGTTGGTGTTGGAATACGACGGGCCCACAGCAGCGGAGCAAGCCAACGGTTCTTACTGACCACGGGGATGCGATTCTTGATATCGTTCGCCAAAAGCCTACGTTGAAGCACCTTGGGCTTTCGGGGTGCTTCGCCAATCACGTTCAAAGTTCCAACGTCGACCGCACCAGCATGTCATACCCGGTAAGTTTGTTGTCCTTATTCTGTGATGATATGGCTGACAACGCACGTAGCTATGGAATATATCCAACCTGACTGCCTTATGCCTACTCGGAGACGCTTGGGTAAAGTCGGGAAACGCTGCGCACGTTAGCCACATGTTTGAGCTATCACCAGGGCTTGAGGTGCGTTCAACATGACAACCTTGTTTTCCTTATCTAATCTCATCCCTTCTCTGCCTCTTAGTACCTGGAAATCCCCCTCGAATTTCATAACCTCGCGAAATGCAGGTTCCCCTGCCTCAAGAAGCTGAAATTGTCGCTCCAATCTGGCGCTACGTCTTCAATTGACGAGTCACGTGCACGATTCCTGGAGAACCATCCAACGATTGAGGAGCTGACTTGGTTCCCGATCGGCATTCCCAACCTCGCTCCTGGTAGCTTGCCCATCTTGAAGCGCCTCAGGACGAGCCTTCAGGTGGTCATCGCGCTTGATCAGCTTTCCCAAGATCATGTTATACCGGTCGAGAAACTCGTTGATCAGGTTTCACCACAACGACTAACGCTTCCAATGCCAACCCCAGATCCCCCAGTCCTCTGCCCGTTGGAATGTCTCGACGTGCGTTCCGTCGACGCTCAGACCCTGGCAAGCTTCAAGACATTCGATCGGATGAGTCTTCGTAGACTCAGATTACACATGCTGGGGGATCTGCACTCAATCCACCAGCTCGCAGAGTTCTTCCCCAACATCACTTGGCTTTCCTTGCCTGCCGTTCACCTCCCTAAAGATGCCATCCATCCAGCTAATGTGAAACTTGTACATGTGCCCCGAAATCATCGCTATCCATGACTCTAACAACAAACAGGAAGAATGGTTCTCCATTCTATCTCTCTTCCCCAACCTCGAGGTATTCCGCGGTCGGGGGCTATGGACTGCCGTCGATTCAAAGAAGGAAAAGATGCCCACGGCTATCATGCAGCTTGTCCAACTCTGCCCAAAGCTGCGTGAGCTCGATCACTGTGATTTCTACGAGAAACACTTTGCGTGGAGGAGAATTGCTATTATTAGGGAGGGCGAATTTGGTGAGAGGGTGAGGTATGAAGTGAGGAAACCGCCGGCAAAGTGGGTTTCTAAATCTAGTGACAACCTTTCTCAAAAACCAAGATGCTGACTTTTCACTCTATAGGGGCGTCTTTGATGTCACCGATGGGGCTTTTGATTAACCAATTTGACTCGGTTTCGCAACACCCTATCTTGACTAAATGACTGAGGTTTGTATTGTGTAGCAGGGCAATCCTTCTCGTCTCCTGTGGCCGTAATGGGATAAGGTCATGTATACCCCAAGTCTACAGAATTGGTCTTTGTGTAGCCAGCGCTCATTGTTGTATTTTGTATTACTGTTGCTGTCCTTGGTGCTGTGGTAATGCTATTGTGTCTTCTGTCATACCATGAAGTGCTGAGAGGATTGCAAATTTGTGAGTGTGGAGGGTAGCTGGCTATCAACCTTCAAGACAACTCCAAGGGACCAAGGGTGCTCTAGCAATAGAATGCCAGCCTACCTATATCCAGTCAGGCATTCAGCAGGTGCGCAATTGAACCATAACAGTAGAAATTGGCATTTGTCCTATGGCTCATAGTGCTACACAAATGGGCCCAATGCCCATACATGTTATGGCACCTTATGTGGGACCCATGCCATAATGACATTTAGGGTTGAATGTTAGGCAGCCAAGTGAAACATTATGGATGATTGGTTGGGCCCAATTATGGTGGTCTATGTGGCTTGTATTAGCCTAAGGCTCATAGTTGGGCCCAATACTTGACTCTCACAATGGCTATATGTTTGGCCCAATAAGTGTAATTTTTCTTTTTTCAGGGGTTTTGTGAATTTAGGGAATTCCAAAGCACCTGCATGTGCAGATGTAATACATGTCTCTGGGGATTGTGCAATCCTGTTGTTCGCATACTTGTTCTGGGAAAATGCAGAATTTCTGGAGCATCAATTGAGGGGCTGAATATCCAAAATAGAATATCCCACTCACATATGCAAATGCAATAAATGTTCCAGCTGAATATCCAAAAAAAACAACCCTGGTGTCTGGACAAATGTTGCAGAAAAATGCAGAATTCCTGAAGAATCAATTGTGCAGAATATCCAATGAAAACACTGCAGATTATCCAAAACCCTGGTGTCTGGATAAATGCTTGGGAAAATGTGGAATTTCCAAAGCATCAATTGTGCTAAATATCCAAAAAAAAAGACAGTGTGAAATAGCTGAAAAAAAACAACCTTGGTGTCTGGACAAATGTTGCAGGGAAATGAGGAATTCCAGAGGCATCAATTGTGTGGAATATCCAAAGAAAGAACTACAGAATATCTGAAAAAAACAACCCTGGTGTCCAGATGAATGCTCAAGCAAATACGGAATTCTGGGGATTGTGCCCTCCATTTCACCAACTTCTCACTTAATTGATGGCTAAGAACCAGTTTTCTGGCAAAAGTATGCTTGACATCTGGCATTAACTATCCTAACAACAACCCCTGTCCTGGCTTGGCAGAGAGGGTGATGACAAATCCTGCCTTTATCACATTGTCATCCTCATCACAGCTCACAGTGAGTACATTGGAGGGTAATTGGGGGCTCAACTGAAGGTTTGAAAAATGATTCAATGCAAGGACAGAGATGTGACACAGGAAAAGTATGAAACAGTCCGCGATGAGTGAGCACAAGGAACAAGTGATAAGCTCATTATCGGATAAGATAATGTCAGAGTGTCAGAACGAAACCTTGCATTTGTACTCATAAGTACAAACAACTTAGAACATGTGAGGGCAAATATGGAGTATTGCAAATCAAAAGGCAATCAGAATATTATCAGTTACATGGATGATGCTTATGCAAAAATTGGAAGGTTGTTGAGGGAACAAGGATATTCAAAAGAAGCAGAAACATTGGAGATTCAAGTTCTGGATAAAAGAAATGAAATGCTTAGAGTGGAACACTCAGATACAATTGATGCCATGGCAAATCTAGGAGTAACATATGAAAACTTGGGAAAATTCATGGAGGCAGAGACACTGGAGATCCAAGTTCTGGATGCAAGGAAGAGAATTCTTGGAGTGGAACACCCAGACACAATGATGGCCATGGCAAATTTAGCAGCAACATATGGAAACCTGGGAAAATACACAGAGGCAGAGACACTGCAGATCCAAGTTCTGGATGCAAGGAAGAGAATTCTTGGAGTGGAACACCCAGACACAATGATAGCCATGGCAAATCTAGCATCTTCATATGGAAAACTGGGAAAATACACAGAGGCAGAGACACTGGACATCCAAGTTCTGGATGCAAGAAAGAGAATTCTTGGAGTGGATCACCCAGATACAATGACTGCTGTGGCAAATCTAGCAGCAACATATGGACATCTGGGAAAATACACAGAGGCAGAGACACTGCAGATCCAAGTTCTGGATGCAAGGAAGAGAATTCTTGGAGTGGAACACCCAGACACAATGATAGCCATGGCACATCTAGCATCTTCATATGGAAAACTGGGAAAATACACAGAGGCAGAGACACTGGACATCCAAGTTCTGGATGCAAGAAAGAGAATTCTTGGAGTGGAACACCCAGATACAATCACTGCTGTGGCAAATTTAGCAGCAACATATGGACATCTGGGAAAATACACAGAGGCAGAGACACTGCAGATCCAAGTTCTGGATGCAAGGAAGAGAATTCTTGGAGTGGAACACCCAGACACAATGATAGCCATGGCACATCTAGCATCTTCATATGGAAAACTGGGAAAATACACAGAGGCAGAGACACTGGACATCCAAGTTCTGGATGCAAGAAAGAGAATTCTTGGAGTGGAACACCCAGACACAATTGAAGCCATGGCAAATCTAGCATCTTCATATGGAAACCTGGGAAAAGACACAGAGGCAGAGACACTGGAGATCCAAGTTCTGGATGCAAGGAAGAGAATTCTTGGAGTGGAACACCCAGACACAATGATAGCCATGGCAAATCTAGCAGCAACATATTATAAGCAGGGAAGATACACAGAGGCAGAGAAACTGCAGATCCAAGTTCTGGATGTGAGGAAGAGAATTCATGGAGTGCAACACCCCTATACCATTCTAGCTATGGAACGCTTAGCAGCCACTCTTAGAAAGCTGGGAAAGTACAAAGAGGCAGAGAGACAAGTCATTCAAGCTCAGAAAGTTGAGAGCAGAGTTATTGGAGCAACATCCCACCATGCAAATGCCACCATGGCTAATGTCCAAGAAACTGAGGAGACTTTAACAATGAATTTTGACACAAAAGGTGTGTACTGAGATTAATTATTCTTCTAGACTAACTCTCATATTTATCTGATTAGTGTCTTCCTGGTCCAATTTTGTAAAGAAAACTTCAAAAACTATGTCTAGAGTAGCACATTCATTTCATAAGGAGAAAACCCCCAATGCTGATTTAGGAGAAACTAGTTCTTAATTTGTATTATTATATGTTGTACCAATGTCTTGATATGCTGTTCAGTATGTTGAATGGAATATTTTTGTGTAACTGTTGTGATTGATATTGCAAGTATCTTAAAGATAGGATAACTTTAGTGTCCTATGAATAAGGAAAGGGAAGAAGAATATTTAGATAAATATCTAGATGCAAGAAATTCGCAGACACAGATAACTTGTTTTTGCATAGGACTTGCCTGGCTCACTCAATTCGGATTTTTGATAGTAAATTAGTAATAATTAAATCCAAGAAGACAGACAAGACCTGAGCATCTGGAGGGCTTGTTTGGGTAGAGTAACCAACCAGCTATACCAGCCAGAGTGTCAACTCACAACAAGCAGGTTGGTTCAGCACGGAACTACCCAAATCAAGCAGCACTTTGGAGAAAATTTCTTTTGCAAATATAAATACAGAGTAGATAATATAAACAAGTTACAGAGTCAGGTTCCCATCGAATGCGGCGATCAGCGCTGATGGGATTTTATTTTGGATACGGAAAAGTTCGAATATTGCAGCCAACGAGTTGATGTGCAACTTGTTGTGTGCTTTTGATGTACTCATTGGAAGAATTTCTTTCATTCGGCGCCAGTAGAGCAGAAAGGCGAGAGAGGTCCAGCTGCCTGTTGCGGTGACAATCTCAGGTGGGATGCTGGTGAGAAGGAGTTCGACAGCACCTCCTATATGGAAACTATGACCAAGGATATGCATATGCATAGCTGATGACCAAATATTGTTGCAGAACTTGAGAAATTCATGCTTGAGAAGAATCTTTGGTTGGGAAGAGGCAGTCGTGTATGCAAAGAGGGAGGTGGAGTGATCCAAAGATGAGTTGACTGCAAGATGGTTCTTCAGGGCAGCAACAGGGCATAGAGTATCGTTGCGTGCAGTCAAAATCACAGAGGTGCCAAGTTCTTTCGTTGTTTTCATCCAGGGAATGTGGAAACTTGCAGAAGATGAACAATCACATAACTTACAAAAGGTAATCCTGGAAGGAGATGAGAGAGATTAAAAAAAGGAGGGAATGGCATACATAACGGAGCAAAGAACATTATAATTCTTGTTAAAGGCAGCAGCGGTAGTAACTGTCAACTCACCCAGTCAATGACAGCCAAAGAAGGCACATAAGGCAAGAGCCCATACGGCTGCATGGAAAGGAGTAGAGATATTTAGAGCATGATGGAGAACCAGTAAATGTTCGATGGAGACAGGAGCACGAAGGGGCCATTTGTGTTTAGAACCTTCCTTATTTGCCAAAATGCAGGCAAGTTGAACCCATTCGTCATCACCGAACCAGGGCGCATGATTTATGGTATGCCATGCACGGATACCAGACAACCAGGAGCGAATGGTGTTCCTGGATTGCCTGCCTTTGTGCTCTCCAATAAAGGCACAAAGGAGGGGGTAAGAAGCAGGCATTCATGCTTCTTCATTGATGCCCCACGTGTCACAGAACTGTATAAACCATAGAGTGCCAGCAGCGTATGCACTTCTGGTGTTTGGCACATAAGTGCCACAAATTGACATCATTGTGCTGTCAACCAATTTTGAAGGGAGAGAAGCAATTAATTGTTGTCTGTGACAAGTGGTGTATGGTGTATCCCAAGTGAATAGATGGTCAGTTTCTGGGACATGAGGGTGTAAAGTGTCGTGAGTGATCTGACGTCCTGCCTGTGGTTTTCTTGCTTTGATAGTACAAGCAGAGGGGGCCACTCCGAGAATGCGAGAGGATGGGATGGAGATTTTGGGATGAGGTTGTTGCATGGGAATGAGTGTGTTGGATGGGAAAGATGTTGGAGTCGATGAGGGAAGAGAAGTTGTTGAAAGTCAATTCTTGAAAGGATGGAGAAAGTTTTGACAGCATGCAGGGCACAGAGGAACAGAGGATGTACCACCCACAGTCGTCTCGATGACATGCGTCACCAGTTTGAAAGAATAATCTAACCTAAAGACAGATAAAATGTCAGAGTAACCATAATGGCAGATAATCTAACCTAGGCATGAATAAAGCATGAGGATAGCTCATCAGGGAGCTTACAGGATGGGAACATCTGCTTCCTGGCAGGTCCTGGTTCTCCGTGTGAGATAGGATCGGCCAGGTTGGTGTGAGACTCAATGTAGATCATTTTTAAAAAGATGGATACAGCCATGAGAGCGAGGTGTGTGTGGTGGACTGTGAGGTTCAAATGAATATTGCTGCTGCGGCCTTTATCAAGGGCACCAATGGTACCTTGATTGTCAGAGTGTACAAGGAGATGTGCATTGCAGATACCTCTTGCTTCAAGAAACTGAACAAGAAGCTCAATAGCTACCATTTCGAGCCAGCAGATATCCTGGCCCTCAATCTTCCAGGAAGGTGAGAGCTGGAAAGCAGCCCACTCATCACCAATGATAATCCCGATTCCCCATGATGTAGAGGTGTCGACATACAGTCCGAGATCTGATAAAGGCCCAAGGGGGCGAAGAGATCGAGAGATCCCACACAAAGTAAGCTTGACGAGCCACCACTTGAGGTCAGTGATCAATGAATGCGGAGGGTACTTCATAAGAAACTCATCACTATAGAAGGCAGACATGAAGTTAGATAGAGAAGGTAGATGAGAGTGGCCATCAAGGTAGATGAAAGCGATGTGACAAGGGGACCCATGAATCTTCTCTATGTCGTGTAAATGACAAGGTTGTCCTTCAAAGTCCATGAGAAATTGAAGGATGCGCTGATGGAACTTATTTCTCTTCCCTTCAGGCAAGCTGACAAGTTTCTTGGGAATGTCCCAGAGAAATCCAATGAAGGTTGTCATGAATGAGAAACATTCATCGCCTTTTTCATCATGCCATGGAACACCCAGAGAAGAGATGCGGTGGAGCATCTTGGATCGGTCATAACCATAACGGAAGTCGCCCTCGATGAACAAACCAGATTCCAAAGGGAATCAAAAGATCTTCAAGTCATCTTCATATTTTGGTACTGGAAAGACCCCTTCAGCTTTCCAAATATCAATGACAGTGTTCCCAATCATACCAGTGTTGCTGCTGGTGCAGGCAGCCCCAAATGGGTGATCATGATTAATGAAGAAATTGTCTGATGTTCCTTGGATGATGAGCCAGGGTTTATGAGAAGGAAGAACCAGGCATGTATGATAAAATTTCTTGATATCAAGGGTACATGCCTGCATTCCAAGAGGCACATGAGAGATCTGTGTGAACAGGAGTGTGAGCAAGAGATGCAGGAAAGGATTATATGCAGAGAAAGAGGAACATGACATGTAACATCAAAAAGAAGGGTAGTATATACCACTCATGATAACCAAAGGATCATCATGCACAATGCATGGAAGATGAATCATCATGCAAAGCACATGAAACAGGAGTCATCATGCTCAGTGCATGGAAGATAAATCATCATGCTCAATGTGCATGGGAGATGATCATCATGCTCAATGCATGGGAGATGAATCATTGTGCTAATGGAATGGAACAGGAAGATGATAAGGATGATAATAGAGACAATGTCCTGGGTAACTTGCCTGCAGCAAAAATACCCAAAGAGCCACTGGGTGCAAGACCAGGGCTAGCTGGCAAAAATGTCTCTATGCACAAAACACAAAGGAGATGTGTAATAAAGAAAGAAAGGAAGAAAGGGTGGGAAATAGACAGAATAGGCAGTGACTCACAATGTCAGCAACTTTTGATGTGGTGTCAAACCATGTAGGGAATTTGTCCTTGTGGATGTGCAAATTGATGGACGTGTGGACTTTTGTTGTTTTGGAGAGGTGTTGGCACACCCTAAGCTTGTTGGGCACTCTGGGATATTGAGGTTGCACAGAGACGATGAGGGAGGATGATTGGAAGGGGCCATGTAAGATTTGTTCAGTGACCTCCCAAGAGAAAGGACCTGATAATCTGCCTGTGGCAAGTTCTTTGCTCAGCCAGTCAGAGACCACAAGTATACATAGACATCACTATAGTACCATAACAATAGAAATTGACAATTGTCCCAATAAGTCATAGGTCTACCCCAATGGGCCCAATACACATGGACACTATGGATCCATACCTGGGACCAATGGATGTTTACAGCATATGGTATTGATGTGTGGCCCAATGCATATTCTGCAGATGTGGTTATTGCCATAATCAATGGTACCATAGGTACCCAAAGTATAATCTACAGAATGGCCAAATGTTGGGCCACATGTGCTCAGGAGATCACCTGGAGCATTGACATGCTGACTGCAGATCATTTCCATCCAGATGTAATCTTTCTTGTAGAGTGCACCAATGTCCGAAATTTGGGAGATCATTTCCATCCAGATGTAGTCTTTCTTGTGGAGTGCACCAATGTCCGAAATTTTGGATGTAATTTGTAACTGGACCAGACAACCCCCATGGAATACTTCAACCTCCAAAATTTAGAACTTCAAGCACCTGAAAATGCCCCTGAAAAAACATCTGGATTTGTATTTAACATGCTGAAGGTCATTGCCCCGAAAATACAGCCGAAAAAATGTCCGGATTTGTGATTAACTTGGTGAATGTCACTGCTATGAAAATGCTGCACCAATGTCCGAAATTTCAGATGTAATTTTGACAGGGACCAGACAACCCCCTTGGAATGCTCTGAAGTCCGAAATTTTGCAGGTCATTTCCATCCAGATGTAATCTTTCTTGTGGAGTGCACCAATGTCCGAAATTTCGGATATAATTTTTAACTGGACCAGACAACCCACATGGAATATTTTGTTTTTAACATTCTGAAGGTCATTGCCCTGAAAATGCGGCGGAAAGAATGTCTGGATTTGTGATTAACTTGGTAAATGTCACTGCTCCGAAAATGCGGCCAAAAAAATGTCCGGATTTGTGATTAACTTGATGAATGTCACTGCTCCGAAAATGCGGCCGAAAAAACATCCGGATTTGTATTAGTGCACCAATGTCCGAAATTTTGGATGTAATTTTGACAGGGACCAGACAACCCCCTTGGAATGCTCTACAGTCCGAAGTTTTGCAGGTCATTTCCATTCGGATGTATTAATCCCCATAGAGTGCACCAATGTCCGAAATTTCAGATGTAATTTTGACACGGATGAGACAACCCCTTCCATCTGGATGTAATGATTCCTGTAGAGTGAAATTTCAGATGTAATTTTTAACTGGACCAGACAACCCCCGTGGAACACTCCAATGTCCGAAATTTAGAAGTTCAAGCACCCAAAAATGTGAACTCAGGCAGAACTCCCTCAATTCTTAACCAATTTCGATGTTCTTTGGCTCGTTTTGATGGGTAAGCCCATTCGGTTGCAGGTGCAAGTACTTTACAGGTTGGGTATGGGCCACCAGTGTGATACCCTTAGGTTTTTGTAGTGTCCTTGATATGAATAAGTACATGGGTTTATGGGTCTATGGTTGAAGGAGTGAGAAGGGTGGACATTTTGCCATTGCTGTATCATTGGTTTATTATGAATAAGTATATAGGTTCAGGGGGCTATAGTTGAAGGAGTGAAAATGGTGGGAATTTTGTCATTGCTGTCACTTTCTGTATCACCTCTTCAACCATACATCCCCATAAACATATGTACTTATTCATTAGTGTCCAGTCTCACAAACTTGAAAGTTTGTAGTCCGCTTTTTTGACATATAATCCTTCGCTATGAATAAGTATGTAGGTTCATGGGACTATTGTTCAAGGAGTGAAAAGGATGGACCATTTCAAGATGTTGCAGTACCACCTGGTTTTAAGATTGAACTTTGTCATTCTCACTCCTTGAACCATATCTCCATAAACATATATATACTGATACATAGTAAACCAATGATATGGCAATGGAAAAATGTCCACCCTTCTCACCCCTTTGACCATAGACCCATGAACCCATGTACTTATTCATGATCAAGGACACTACAAAAACCCATTGGTATTACACCAGTGGCCCAGACCTGACCGGATAGGTCTACCGGTCAAAACGAGCCCAAGAACATCGATATTGGTTAAGAATTGAGGGAGTTCTGCCTGAGTTCAACGAGTCATTACAAAATTTTGTAGTCTAAAAAGTAGACACTACAAAGTTTTCTGGTCTAGAAAGCATACACTACAAACTTTTGTAGTCTCAAAGAGAAGACACTTGAGGCAGGACATCTTTTAGTGACAAATCCTTTCGGCCGTGTTTTTGGGGGATATACCTTCCCCATGTTACAGACAAATCTGGACAAATTTTCCAGCAGATTTCCGGGGAAATGACGTTCAGGATGTTAAACACAAATCCGGACATTTTTTATGGGTATCATTATGTCCGGATGAAAATAGATTACAAAACTTCAGACATCAAAGCATTCTGTGGGTTGGATGGTCTGTGTCAAAATTGCATCCAGAATTTGAGACATTGGTACACTCTACAAGGGGATTAATACATCCAGATGAAAATGACCTACAACATTTCGGAGTTCAGCGAATTCCACAGGAGTTGTCTGGTCTGTGTCAAAATTACATCCAAAATGTCGGACATTGGTGTACTCTATGGCAATTAATACATCCGGATGGAAAAGACCCACAGAATTTCGGACTTCAGAGCATTCCACAGGGGATGTCTGGTCCATGTCAAAATTACATCTGAAATTGTGGACATTCAGATCCAGATGTTTTTTCGGCCGCATTTTCGGAGGAGTGACATTCATCAAGTTAATCACAAATCCAGACATTTTTTCGGCCGCATTTTCTGGGCCATGACCTTTGGCATGTTAAATACAGATCTGGATGTTTTTTCGGCCGCATTTTCGGGTGCTTAAAGTTCTAAATTTCGGACATTGTAGTATTCCATGGGGGTTGTCTGGTCCAGTTAGAAATTATATCTGAAATTTCGGACATTGGTGCACTCCACAAGAAAGATTACATCTGGATGGAAATGCCCTGCAGAATTTCGGACTTCAGAGGATTCCGCGGGGGTTGTCTGGTCCCTGTCAAAATTACATCTGAAATTTCGGACATTGGTGCCGCATTTTCGGAGCAGTGACATTCACCAAGTTAATAACAAATCTGGATATTTTTTCGACCGCATTTTCAGGGCCATGACCTTTAGCATGTGTTAATCACAAATCTGGACATTTTTTCGGCCGCATTTTCGGGGCAATGACCTTCAGCATGTTAAATACAAATCCGGATGTTTTTTGGGCCACATTTTCAGGTGCTTGAAGTTCTAAATTTTGGACGCCTAATGGAAGAGGGCCAATTGTTCGCCCATGGGTGTAACAGAACAAGAGCTGGTCCATGAATGTAAAGGCACAATTGCTGGTCCGCAGGTGTAATGGAGCAGCAGGTGGTCCATGGGTGTAATTGCAGGCCCACAGGTATAACAGAATAAGATTCTGCAGGTGTAACAGAGCAATTGTGGACCTGTGGGGTAATGGAACAAGAGCTGGACCATGGGTGTAAATGCACAATTGTTGGGTTCATGGGTGTAACTGAACAACAGCTGGTCTGCGGCTGTAAATGCACAATTATGGGGCCGTGGGTCCAATGGAACAGGAGCAGGCCCGTGGGTTTACCAGACCAAAGCCCACACCTGGAAAATTTAATAACAGAAGAAGATTCTGTGGGTGTAACAGAGCAATTGTGGACCCATGGGGTAATGGAACAACAGCTGGTCTGCAGGTGTACACGCACAATTGTTGGGCCACAGCTGGTCCATGGGTGTAAACACACAACTGTTGGTCCGCAGATGTAATGGAGCAGCTGGTGGGTGTAATTGCAGGCCTGCGGGTACAACAGAATTAGATTCCGTGGGTGTAACGGAGCAATTGTGACCCATGGGTGTAACAAAACAAGAGGACCGTGGGTGTAAATGCACAATTGTTGGGCCACAGGTGTAAGAGAACAACAGCTGGTCCATGGGTGTAAACACACAACTGTTGGTCTGTGGGTGTAACGGAGCAGCTGGTGAGTGTAATCACAGGCCCGTGGGTATAACAGAATCAGATTCCACAGGTGTAACGGAGCAATTGTGGACCCACAGGTGTAACAAAACAAGAGGACTGTGGGTGTAAACGCACAATTATTGGGCCACAGGTGTAACGGAACAACAGCCGGTCCGCAGGTGTAAATGCACAATTGTGGGGCCGTGGGTCCAATGGAACAGGAGCAGGCCCATGGGTTTACCAGGCCAAAGCCCATGAATCATTGGGCTAACCTATGAACTATAGCTTATATCATTGCATGGGCCCAACTTACAAGCCATAGCATTGCAATTTTACCATTGGGCCCAACCTGTTCCCTTAACAAATACCTTACATTAGGCCCAACCATCAACCATAGCTTAATAATTCCTCCATTGGGCCCAACCATCTCCCTTAACAATTTCCCTCCATTGGGCCCAACTATCAATGGTACCTTAATACCATCATATATCAACAGCCAAAATTACCCCCATTTAAGCCATGTGGCCAATCTATAAACCCTTAGCTTGGACAGTGGCACCGTCGTTGGGCCCAACGATCAAATATACATATTGTCACATCATTGGGCCAATGTATAGTATCATAATGTCTTTTGTAATTGGGCCCATTGGGGTAGCCCTATGACTTATTGGGACAATTGTCAATTTCTATTGTTATGGTTCCATAGTGTATCTACTGAATGCCCTGCAGAGATGGTGTCAGGATAAGACAAGATCGAGGGGTTGTTAGGCATGATAATAGTCTGGGAGGGCAGAGGTAGTGTTTGAAAGTCCGGTCCAGTCCGGTCTTTTGGTGCCCAGTGCCTTAGACCGTAACCGTAACCAGTCCTCCCAATTCGAGAAAGTTCAAAAAACCAGACCGAACTGCAACAGACCGGTCTTTTGCGGTCTTTTGCAGTTACAAGACTGGTTTTAACCAGTCCTGGTCTTAACCGGTTTGCGACTGGTCTAGACCGGTCTTTGTAGGGGTCAGGCAGCCATGAAACAACAATGTTCTAAGTATTTTAATATACAAGGGGTCAGCATACGCGACTGGTAGCAAGCAATATGTATGGGTAACCGCAGCTGTCTCACATCCACCTGTACCGTTCATTGACGCACCAGGTCATCGTCAACATAGGCTATCTGTAATCATTCATCCATGCATCGTCGACGACGTTGTTTGTCTGTGCGTAAACGTCGTCATTCGTCCATGTCACCAACAACGACATGGCCCTGCTTCTCATTTCAAAGAAGGGGGGGAAGGGAGTCACATTGCGCACCTGGATCGACGTCAACGGACATGCCACGCTACCCGTCATTTGTTGTCTATGACCATCGTCATTTTTCTCATTTATGGTTGCCGGCACTGACGGCGACATTGCCCTCCTGGACGTTGACTGTTTTGGGTGTCATTGTTTGATCATCTGTTGCCATGTCGCCCCTGTTTCTCATGAACAAAGGAGAGGGAAAGGGGGAAAAGAGTCATGCGGCTCACCTGGATTGAAGTGTGCAGTGACAACGACTTGCGTTGTCAGTGTCTGGACAACGTGGCACGTCAACGGATGTGCCAAATCGTCTTCATACCGTCGAAACGGCGTGTGCTCACTTCATCCATGGCCACATCATCGTCATCATTAGTGTGTGCAGAGGTGGTTGGGAGTAGTGTTCGCAGGGAGGTGGTTGGGAGTAGTGTTCGCAGGTCCAGTTCAGTCCGGTTTTTTGCCCTGAAAACGCGCAACCGTGGACCGCAACCGGTCCAGGACCGACCCAGATATTGAGGGAACCGAACCGGACCACCTAGGACCGGTCTTTTGCGGTCCATGGACCATGTTCAGACCGATTCAGACCGGTCTTTTTGCGTAAAATTTGTCATAGCAATATAAACTATTTGTATCTCAATTATTATTACTCTAAAAAATAAACTGGTTATATATCATAGTAAAACATATAAATACCCATCATTCCACCAATTCTTAAGAAATTTAATGAAGGTTTGACATAGCTATGACTGAAACCGAATTACATCTCCTAAAGACTCGGGCAGAATGTAATGTGGCAACTGTAAATTATTTGATGCATACCATATATTGATAGATGGTGAGTATATTTTCATAGTTAAAATGTCAATATCCAACAATTGAATCAAGCAAAATGATGAAAGTTTGAGTGAGTTAGAATTAAAGTCATTCTGGTACAAGTTGCACAAACAAGTATTTGTGCCAAAATGGATTTGGTTATATCTTTCTCAGTTCTTAACCGTTTTTGATGAACCAAAAACCCAATCAAAGGTAAAAAACGTGGTTACAAGGCTATGTAACGCATGTGACCGTTTAACCGGTTGCAACCGATTTAAACCGGTCTTTGAACAGTTTTAAAAGATTTTTGAAATGAGGCAACCGGCAACCAGACCAACCCCAAATTTGGGCAACTGCAACCGAAAAAAGACCGTACCATGGTCCGGTTCAGTTCGGTCCATGTTTTTTTTTCAGTCCTATGGACCAGACCTGTAAACACTAGTTGGGAGTCGAATGGGGAGGTGGTGGTTGTTTCCACATCGCGGTAATGACATGCCCCTTGCTCTGTGTGTGAAAAAAGGCGAGGCAGAGAGCAGTCGCATTGCTCACCTCCAGTAACGTAGACACTTCCGTCATCATCTGTCTGGACAACGTGGCACATCTGTTGATGTGCCATGTCGTCGCCGTCCATCATCGTCATTCGTCCGTTCAACGTGGGGCTGGTGACATGGCATTGTGGCGCCGCCATTTCCAAGCTGTTGTCATTGTTGGGGTGATTGGCGCTGGTTGAACGATGATTGTGGGAGGTGGTGGTGGCGATGGTGATGAATTGGAGGTCGTCGTGGTCAAGTCGTGGTGATGGTTGGTGTGGTGGTAGTTGAGAACGAAATTGTTTCTTTGTTCTCAATTTGTTGATGAATGCATTTTCATTGGTTCTCATCAAAAACACAAGAGATAAATGTATTCTATTGAAAGACTGGTCTTTGACCGGTTAATCCGGTTTTTGCTCGGTCTTGAATTTTTGGAATCCATAGAGGACCGTAGACCGAACTGCGGTTACAGTCTTTGTTGGTCCTGATAATTTGCAGTCTTGATAGGTCACGGTCCGGTCTGGTCACGGTCTTTTTCCAGTCCTGTGACTGGACTTCCAAACACTAGGCAGAGGCATATGACCGATAGGGAAGCCGAGGCACTTAGAAGGGAGAAGGGAATAGTTATCGAAAAGATGGTGCTTGTGCAATAAGGCCTCAAAAGTGTCAGCATTGTAAGGGTGTAGAATGTGATTGAATAAAAGGGTCTCTGCAGGACAAGAGTTGAATAAAGGAGGATGAGAGATGATTGAAGAGGAGAATTCTGAGTAGGAGAGAGGAAGAGACAATCATGCTTGGACAAATGCGTCAATTTGCAGGTCGTGAGTGGCAAATCCATGCGAAGGCATTGTGGTTTTTGCTCCCACAGAAGGAGCAGATGTGGATGTGGACATCTTTGTGGGAACAGGATGTCCACGGTCGCCTCTGAGATTCCAGCTGAAGCATATAATATGGTTGTTGGGGCTGAGGAGATTGCGGTCAGTGTACTTTGCCCATACCAACTTGCCGTCACTTTTGAACTTGATGGGTGCAGTGCTCTCCATGTGTTGGGTCGCATTGTGACCTCACTCAGCACAGATGAGGCAGTCAGGTGTTGAGGAGGAAGATTGACCACTACCTGATTGAAAGGGCTGTGAGGGACATGACTGGGAGGAGCGAGGGGTGAGTTTCAGAACAAGTTTGTTGGCAGTGCTGCTGAAAGAAGATTTTGTGGGTGCTGACAATGAGATCATGCCATGGATGTCAGCCATCATTTCCTACTGCTTCTCAGATAATTTGTAAGCCTGATAGTAGCAGGCCATGTCGAATTCTCTGTATTTTGCCCAGTGTTCCTGATGGAATTTTAATTCATCAGCTTTCCATGCATCGTAAAGCTCATCCTTGGTGTCCTGAGAAGTGTAGAAACAAAAATGATCATTGTACCAAGTGCTGTGTGCTTCATGTGTGCCTTCTTCGTCCTGTTCCTTTTGGAAAAGGTACATGCTCCCTGTGGCTTCAGTCCACTGGCTACAAGATAAAGATAGTTCCTTGCCAGGACGTGTTGAGAGTTTTTCAATATCCAATATGACATTACCTTTTGTCTCACCAGGATTCAGATTGGTCTTCGTTGTTGCTAGAGTAGACACCTCAATGTTCAAGATATTCAGATTTTTGTTGAGAAAGAAAGGAAGTGGAACAGCAATGCAGAGTTCAGTGTTGAAGAGGTTTTGTGGGAACGTAGCTTGCCATGGAACTCCCACAACCCAGGGAGCCATCTTCTGTCCGTTCATGCAGCGTCACTTCACAATCCTAGCATCTTCTGCAGAGAGTTTCTGTTCGTCGGCAGGCTTCCGTTCAAATTTTAATTTAATATCTTCATCTGCAATCCATTTTGCCAGTTCAGAATAGATCAGACCAGGGAAGGAAGCCACGAAAGAAGGGACACAGAAGTGGTTAAGGTCAATGTGATTGAAAGATTTCTGAGATCTTTCAGCATTCTCTTCTTCAATTTCTTTATTCATCTGGATCCTGGAGTATGGAGATCATCGGCAAGTTTTTCAGCATTTGAATGATAGCCGGTGATGTATGAGTGTGAGGGACACGAGGAACAGTGGCGAAAGAATCAGAGACAGGTGTAGCCACAGTTTGAGAGCTTTCAGTGGAGCTTTCAGCACTAGTAGCCATTGTCAGAGGAATGTCAGTCATTGTAAAGGTCAGGAAGAGATTGCCAAGGTTCAAAAAATTCGCTGATGAATGAGAGGATCTTTTTACATGTCAGAACGATAAACTGAATGACAAGGAGAATCCAGTCTCCTTGTCTGACATTTGGAGACTGTTACCAAGGTCCTCCAGAATCCATATGACTGGCCTGTGTTCCATCTTAGTGAACAAGACAATGTGACATACACCATTAAGCAACATTTTTTCCTCTCATTCAAAGTCAACCTGTCCCTGCCCCAGGTATGAACCAGTGGATGCATTGCATATACATTATCAGATAGGCCCCTCTTGATTAAAGAGAAAGACAGCAATGTTCGAATTCCCTCTCTGAAAATGAAATTATCCCAAGTACCTGTCTCACAAAGAGGGAGTAGTTTTCGATCCAGCAGTGAACTGGCAAGAGGTAAACCCAACATAGGAGTTTTCTTATCTTTTTGAAGGGCAGCATAAGAAAAGATTTCCTCAGATATTTCCTCATGATGGAAGAAAGGAAATAATTTTAGAAGTAGCATTGCACTCTTGGCTGCATTGGCCTTATGAGAATCATTAGATCTAGCCCTTTGTTTAATTTCTTTGTATGATAGCTCCCAAGTTTCATAGACAGTTTTGTTATACTTAGAAGCTCCAGTAAATTCAGCATGAAAGAATAATGTTTTGCGGTGCTCTGAATACTTTGCTAGATAGTCTCCAATAGTGGTGGCCCCAGAAGCAATATAAGCACCAGCTTGGTCAATAGCAAGAGGAAAGCAGAAGAGATCTGTTACAATCTTAGAGGCTTGGATTTGAACATCTGATGTGGATGAATCCAAGCAACTAGCTTTCAGAAGTAGTTCAATAGCATCCCTCTCTTCCAATCCAGTCACTTCAAGAGAATTCTGAGGTGAAGTCAGAGTCATCATGGCAGAGTTACGACTAGTTATCAGAATGTTTCCCCTCATTCCAGGTGGGAAATACACCTCCAGTGCAGCAGGTGACAGAACATCAGCATTATCAAAGATCAGGATGTAATTTCCTTTCAGTGAGCCAATCCACCCAAGAGCAGAGTCAGGTGAGCCATCCAATCCACAAGACTGACCAATACCCTTCAGTGCCTGCATGATGGTACCGGAGGAGGATGCATCAACCCAGAAAACATGAGAGAAGCTGGGGACAATTCAATTTTTCAGGTAGGGTCAGACTAGTGTTTAGTAGGTACTCACCTATCAGACATTTCCGCAGCAAGTTTTAAGCAAATTTGAGTCTTTCCAATACCCCCCATTCCATATAACAAGAAGACCTTTCTCTTCTGAACTATGTCATTTGGGTTGGTAAAAAAATGCCTCTTGAGTTTCGCGATGGCTTCTGTACGCCCAGTGAACCGAGTGCTTGGGTTTGGCATGATGGGAATGAACCCCGTCATCTTATTGCTGTGGATATTGACCTGCAACAGATCCAACGCCGTCAACTTGCTTGACGGATACTTTTAGCGAACATTACACTCACAGTCTTAGCTTCAATGAATGTGCCGTTGTTGGCGACGAAGTGGTGAGCGCCCGCAAAGAAGTTCGCTCCGCTCATGTTGAGATATCGAAGATGGACGTTCAGGATGAGGGAGGGAAAGAAAGGACAGCGCCCAAACAGTGCACCCACCCCCCAATCACGCCACGAGGTGAAGGCGTGCCTGTGTCTATTTTTACAAACATGAACGTGCCCGGGCTTTTCCGACTCTTGACTCCAGTCTTCTCCAAGCCCTCGCCTTCGTCTTTCTCATTCCTCGATGTTTTACTGTCTTTGGTGAGTGGGCTCGACTTTCTAGTGTTGGTTATGTATGGCACCTGCAGGGCTCACGACGAGAGAATAAAGTCCGTTGTTGGCGCCGAACGCGCCTATTGGACTGATGTATAGGCCGTGGTTACAAGTGGACTCTACGAACGTGGGCCTGGCTGACCTTCTTTCTCGTAGTAGTCATGGCAGATTTGGTTGCGCGGTGTCTGAAACCAGAAAACAGCACGTAATCTACGCGTCTCTTTTCTCGTCTTAACAATACATTCTCTCAAAGTGAGTGGCCGGATCATCGTCGAGTTCGCCTCTCTCTGAACATCCATTTTGATAGCTGAAAATTCGGAGCTGGAGTTGCTGCGCGGTGGCTTAGCGGGTCGGTTCGAGTGCCAATATATTTGATTCGTCAAGTCCCTACAATTGGCCGTGCTTACATCGGTTTGCCTGTTGGAGAGAATGTAAAGTGAGCTCATAGTCTTTTCTATTTTGAACCGACGGTAGCTAAGGATTATTTACCCAGCTACTTATCCCAGCTATACCCTCACACACCCACATTCGCCCACTCCTTCTCAATGAAGCCAACGACCAACGACAGCCGACCTTAGCATTTCCTTCAAACTTAACAGCATGCCCATTCCACAGCTCCCCCTCCACCAACTACGCTTTTGGTCCTTCCCACCGTCCTCCTGATGATGTCGATCATCGGGAGTGCCTTTCAGACTACACGGACGCATGGCTTCTTCCTTTTAATGAATCATGTCGGGTCGAGGTCCCCGCCATCAACGATAGCGCGGACCAGACTTTCTCCGGCTGAGAGGGACAAAGACAGTGAAAGTTGAGTTGCAGCGGCCGAACATATTCTGGTACCCCACTCGCTTCCCCCCTTTCCCTGCCAATCGGCTTCCACAACATTCGAGGTTTTGCCTGACGCCTCTTAACGGTCCCCGCAAGTTGCCGTCTTCCAAAGGGGGTCTCGCCATCGACGTTGGTTGAAAGATTGCATGATGAACTCTTCAGCTAACACCGCATCAGCAACGGCCCTCTGTGGCGTTAAACTCAAACCCTACTCCTGCACTCGTTTGCTACGCTCTCGCGATCTTTCAAGTAGGAGAACCTTTTGTAGAATCAAGGTGCGTCAAGCTCTGACTTCGTACCGTTCACATGACTGACTCAACGACACTTATAGCACACATCTAGTGGCACCCCACTAAGCGTTCCGAGCCTTTCTCGCTCCTTACAAGTAAAATGACCCGCTATTATCTTGCCCGACAGACTGCTGTCGAGCCGCTGATTCAAGGACCCCAGTACGCTCTCGATCAGCCGCCCAACTGCCCTGCTACTTCGACATGTATCTCCAAACTACCGTGTACATCTTACGACATACCAGAACTGCACAACCGTTGGTGTCTCCTTCCCTGGATCCCTCGTGGTGGTGGTATATCCCGGCAGCTTGATGCGCTCCACATCAACATTGAGTTGAGAGTCGTATGTCGGGGCAGAGGTGAGTGCAACAGTTAATTCTGTCGTTAAATACTACATGTTGACGTTGTTGCAGTAATTCCCCAACGTTTCGTTCCCACAAACCGTTCGGTTTCCATTTCCGTCGAAGCATGTAACGATGGACTGCGAGCGGCACATAACCCTTGGGCCAACGCCGCTCAGGCATGTAAACCGCAGGGTATGCACAATACCCTCACGCCACATCAAGCAGTTAATCTTTATATTTGTTCTAGTCCCACCACAACTTTGAAAAAAATACTTGGACGTTACCTATACCTTTCGTGAAATGCAGACGCGCATCTCAATTCAAAAGTGAGTGACGTTTATCAATCCTTTTGTCGTAGCCCTGACCTCAAGTAACGAAAGACTATGTAGCACATTCATGAACAAAGTCACCCTGACCGAATCCAAGCTAAGGATTCACGAGTTGTCTGGCAAAACCACTTCCCACCCGTCCAGCCCCTTTGCTCCCCTCAAATCAACCTCTTTACAGCCTAGACCTTCTCCGTGACGCTTATGCACCCTCTTTGCCGTGAAGTGGCTTTCTCACCTCCCTTTAGATTCGAAAATCTACCATGTATGAGCAGCCTCCCCTAGTGTATTGTCAACACGATTCTGACACCACGATACACAGCTAAGCATACGGCATACTCCATCGTCATTTTCTCCTTCCCCCTCACCGCATACCAAGGCATCGCAAACTCGAAGAGTCGACGTTTATCCCCAGATCGAGGATCCGCTGTCGCAAGGGATATGTCGAACGTTCAAAGGACCGGAAGACTAACGCGTGGAGATGATTGTGTTGAATCTGTGTGCGTTGAGCCGGTGTTGGGTGGTCAACGCGGTTTGGGGGTTTTTTCAGAGAGGCAGGGTACAGGCGCAGTGGAGGATGAGTAGCCGATGTTGACTAGGAGGTGAGGAGTGAGTGGGTTGAATGTTGAATGCCAGGAGGCTGAGCCGTCGTGGGTGTATTTGGTTGTGTCGTCGATCGAGGGAGGAATGAGCGGCTGGGGCGCTCCGTTCCGGGGAGGGAATCTTTTGGGAGTGGAGAATCTGGGCGGCCAAAGAGACCTAGTGACCCGTTGAATGGGAGAAGGACATTCGAGGAAGCTGTAAAGTTTGCGGGAGGGTGATACCAAGGTGATACTTAAGTATGTCGAATTGGGGTAGAAATGTTCAAATAATCGGCCCTGGGCAAGTGTTGAACGTTGAACGTTGAGCGTTGAAGTTGATCTTAACCATCACCACGAGCTCGTCGTCACCATCGCCCTTGGCGCTGCTCGTGCACTCGTCGGCCATTGCTTCGACTAAAGGAATTCAAAAGGAATTAGTACGATAACCGCAAGGATACAGGCGTCTCACTCTTAACTCCGTGCTCGACGGCTGTCACATCGTGGAATTAAAGCGTACGTTAGGCAGGAGAGGTTTGGGAGAGGTATCCGACGACCGAGAAGGTAATCATGAGAGTTGCCTCTATCGTGAGGCATCATTGAAACGTTTGTAGCAGTTTCCTGCCATGGCTCTCCCCTCAAAAAGTTAGGACGAATGGCTACCCACCTGGCTCAATTCGTGCAACACATGACGACGCTCCTCCTCTGCGCCACAGGCTACTTCACGTCACAGCAATGCTCACGCACATAGAGATGTTTGTCGTGAACGATGAGTTTGAACAGAGTCATCTGACGTGGGATTGAGGGTACGTGGTATGTCTTCTTTTCTGCAGTGATCGTGATTCTGATGTCATGTAGTCGATTCGTCCCTCATTCAACGACGTTAGAGCAACGAACATAGGACAAAGAAGTCGAATTTGTGCTGCCTGCTTCGCGTCCGTGCCCCAGCACGTTTGTACCATTTCATCCATAACCTTTTCATCCACATCACACACCACAACCCCTTCGATGTGGGAACAGTTCAAGGACACCAACCGCTCTTTCATCAGTGTCCCGTTCCCCTCTCTTTCCAGTCAGCATCGTACTACATTCATGGACACAAGCATTCCGAACAAAAAGTTCTGACATTGCTACTCTGCATGCATGACCAAATTTCGGGATTCACTTTGCCCCAACTTAGCTGCGCTCCCACCGCACCTTCACCCACAACGCACCAGCACACACCGCCTTCATTCATAGCGGTACCACACCCTCATGACCTCGCAGACTTCATAGAGCTCGCTCGTCAGCTAGAAAGGAATATGCACTCCAAACTCGGCGTAACCTCCCCCTTGTGGTGTGGACGAAGGGAAACCACTGTGCACGCCATTACAACACTCCTCGCGCACGCCCTACGATCATGTCCGCCCAACATCCGCCGAGTCAGAACAGCACGCCTAACGCCGTCAGCTCAGCGTTCTCTGACGTATGCGAGCTTGATGCGAGCGGCTTTTGTTGATGAACCGCGTCTGGAAACAACAGCGAGAGATGAAAGGCCTCCGAGACACTCCAGTCCACCAAAGTGTCGAAATGCTCTAATGTATTCGAGGCTTTCTGCGATCGCCTGTTGCTCTCCAACCAAGATGCAACGACAGATCGATGAGCTCATCGCGGAAGGAGAGAAGATTAAGTGGTCGAGGGTGCCTGCTAATACGTGGGCAGCGGAACAGATGGCCTCGGACGTTCGGAAGAAGAGGCTTTTAGAGTTGCTGAAGGATCTCATTCAAAAGTTGGAGGAGTAAGCGGGTTGTTGGAAAGATGAAGGAGGCGTATGAGCATGAGATCTTGGAGTTGACGGGGGAATGGAGCCGCGAGTACGGAAAGCTTGTGAGGGGGGTGGAGAGGCTGGGGAAGCGAGTCTTGTTGAATGACCAGGAGAGAAGGTTGTGTGAGGAGGCTGCTCCGAGCAGGAGGAAAGTTGATGATGGTCGGGCTGTTGGCAGGGAGGTTGAGAGTGACGCGTAGGTGTCATCCTTGACTTGTGTCGACTTCAACGACATCACCACCCTCCAGCGCCAAGGCACGGATTAGCCGACCAAAGAGGACCCGCCCCAGAGGGAGTTCGTTGGCATTGAAAGTCCCTGCCCATCCTAGCCTCTCTCCCTTGTCGCCTATTCGAAAACTCGATACGGGCCCATACGTTGGGTTCTCTTTCAATCCCCTATTCTTCGGCCACAGTCCACCTTGAGCGAGGCCCACGAAAAGAGAACCATGTCATGATAGCATGTACCCACCCGGATCAACATACCTTTTGATGGTTGTGCGTAGGGGTGTTTATACCAGGGGATTAGTGAATCCCAGATGCCACTTACAGAGGAGAAGTTGGTTTAGGGGCGTGATGGAGTAGAGTCCGTCACCAGCTGAAGTACGAGCGCGGAGTGCTGAGGGGAGGAGGTGCTGAGGGCTGAGATTTTGGGAGGAGGTACTGGTGTTGGTGAGACGCACAAGCAATGGACGATCTCGTCGACATCATCGCCTTCACGGCCTCTCATGGCTCCTCTGCACTGTAAATCACGCATATAATGTCCCAGGAGTTCATTTCGTTCTTTTATCACGGTAACCCCCGTTGAATCGAGTTCAAGCATATGTTACAGTCCGCATCATTGCGACTACTTCAGTAGACCAACTCACCACAGCGCTAGTAGCGGAGGTTTCTACCTTGAAACAACATATCACCATCCCCATGAATCCACCAACATGCGCACCGTTCGATCGGCCATTTTCCTCCACCGCAAACTTCTGGCTTCCCCCATGCAACCAGGTCTCTTTGGCCACTCAGATTCTCCACTCCCAGAAAACACCCTCCCCAGACAGGAGAGAGCCTCAGCCACTCAATCCTCCCTCGGTCGACGACACAACCCAAATACATGACCCGCAACGGCTCAGCCTCTTGGAATTCAGCATCCAATTCCACCCTTCCTAGTCAACATCGGCTCTTCGTCCTTCATTGCGCCTGTACCCTGCCTCTCCACACAACACCCAAACCGCGTTGATCACGCTACACCGGTTCAACGTGCGCAAATTCAACACGATCATGCCCACCCGCTAGTCTCTCGGTCCTTCGAGGGTTCAACATGTCCCTTGCGACAGCGGATCTTCGATCTGGGGATAAACGTCGACTCTTCGATGCCTTGGTATGCGGTGAGGGGGAAGGAGTGGGTGACGATCTGTATGCTGGAGCTGCGTATCGTGGAATGACCTCGATAACTCCGCGTTTGATTACGGTCGTTACGGCTTGGATGACGGGGACGGAGGAAGGCGTCGAGCGGCGGACGAAATCTAGGAAGAGGACGGTGAGTCGTACTGACTTGTCATAAAGGAAGAGAAGACGCACAAACTAAAGTGACCGAACTCGTACGTGTTCTGCATTCGAAGAGCAAAATTAAAAATGTAGGCGCTTGCTTTCGTCGCTTCGCTGTGCGATGAGGCAGGTGAGCAATTATCTGGCGCCAAGGTCCGTTCAACGCAATGACCTGCGATCCAAACAAAAGTAAACACGTGTTTCCTCCACCACGCCGGGGAAATTTTTGAAATGACGCTGTTTCGTCTCCAGAGAAGCATGACTGAAAAGCCGTGAAAGAAAATAGATCACTTTCTGGTCCCGCTCTTATGTAAAGCCTTCAAGCTTCAAGCTTCAAGTCTCTTGTGTTTTCGTCGTTTGTCGCTTCCCGATAGCTCGAAGACCTGTGAGACCGAGGCTGAGCCCATTGTTCATGCTGAAATGGCGCCAATTTTTCATTACTGGAGTGTACACAAAAGAGATGCGCTGCTGAGCCTCCGCAACTCAGAGGATCTTGACACCAGACATGCTGTCAATGCTGACGTTGAACGCAGATCCCGTCCCCGACCCCCAACGACCCTTCCTAGTCAACATCGGCTCCTCATCCTCCACTGCGCCTGCGACCGCCCTCTCAACACAACCCCTGAAACCACGTTGACCACCCAACACCGGCTCAACGCACACATTCAACACAATCACCTCCACCCGTTAGTCTTCCGGACCTTCGAGCGTTCAACATGACCCTTGCGACAGCGGATCTTCGATCTGGGGATAAACGTCGACTCTTCCGATTTACGATGCCTTGGTATGCGGTGAGGGGGAAGAGAAAGATGACGATCAGTATGCCGTATGCATTTGAGCTGCGTATCGTGGTGTCAGGATCCTGGTGACGATATACTACGTGAGGCTGCTCATACCCGGTAGGTTGCAAAATCTGAAAGGAAAAAGCCATGTCAGGGCAAAGACGGCGGTGTGCATGAGCGTCACGGAGATGGTCTAGGCTTTCGAGAGGTAGATTTGAGGGGAGCAAGTGGGCTGGATGGGGTGCGCCGTATTTTTGCCAGACAACTCGTGAATCCTCGGCTTGGATTCGGTTGGGGTGACCTCTGTTCACAAATGTACTATGTAGTCTAACCTGATTGGAACAAGAGAAGGTCAGGGCTACGACAAAAGGAGCTCTTGATAAATGTTACCCACTTACAAATTGAGATTTGTGTCTGTATTTCGCGGAGGTAAAGGTAACGTCCAAGGATTTCTTCGAAGTTGTGGTGGGACTAGATCAAATATAAAGATCAATGGCTGGATGTGGCGTGAGGACATTGTGCGTACCCTGTGGTCTACGTGCTCAGTGAGCGGCGTTGACTTCGAGTAGTGTGTAAGAATAAAATGCCGCTCGCGGTCCATGACGGGAATGAAAACCGAACGCTTGGGGTATCGTCGGAGAATGACTACAACAATGTTAACATGTAGTATTGAAACACACCTTGACTCTAGAAAACTTTGGCCTCCTTGGAAGATCGCGAGAGCAGTGGCAAACAAGTGCAGGAGTAGTGAAGATGGTGATGTTGTCGACGAGGTCGAGATGGATGAAATCAAGAGTTTTGCTGTGGTTGAGAGTACCCCTAAGCCTCGTCTTCGTATATCCACCTCGACAGTGGAATTAACACCTCTCAAACCAGAACGTTCGGAAGGGCCGACGCCTTACGCTGCCGAATCCATCGTCGGCCATTCTCTCGCTCTTTTCGTCCATCTACCCACCACCCTCCACCAACTCTGGCGTTGCATATTCGAGCATGCGTCACGACGGTCTTCCAGCCTAAGTATGGCACCACTGCCCCATCACGCCTAGCTCAACAAACTCAGCAGGCACTTCGCTCCTCGATCAGGTACCTCGTGTTTCGAATTTATTTCCAACCGCAATCTCACTCGACGGAATGCACTTGCCCTGTCACAGTGGACTTGTCCAATTTCCTCTCGTTCGCAACTCATTCGTCCTCGCCATTCCTCCTCAAATTTTTGAGAGCGGTGTTGAAGATACAGAGCCAGTGCAAACGGGTTGAGTTCAATATCACAGAGGGTCGTTGTGATGTCAGCTGAGAAATTCATCATACAGTCTTTCAACCAACGTCGATGGCGACCTCATTTGGAAGGCGGCAACTTGCGGGGACCGTTAAGAGGCGTCAGGCAAAACCTCGAGTGTTGTGGAAGCCGATTGGCAGGGAAAAGGGGGAAGCGAGTGGGGTATCAGAATATGTTCGGCCGCTGCAACTCGACTTTCACTGTCTTGGTCCCTCTCAGCCGGAGAAAGTCTGGTCCGCGCTATCGGATCGTTGATGGCGGGGACCTCGACCCGTCATCATCAGGAAAAAAAGTGGTTGCGACATCGCACAATATAGTTCTGATAGCTACAGTAGCACTTTTGCAACCCCCCCTTTATATAGCACCCCATAGCATCACCACCAGTTTATATAGCACTATAATTACATATATAGCCTTAGCTGCTCACGACATAGCTGCCCATGGTATCATATTAAAGAAGTCCTGTAGTTATACATAGGCAGATATAGACAGTATTGTATGACATAGCACAGATAGAAACCAGCTTAGAGTAAATGCAGAATACTGTACTAATCCAATCAATTCGTCGGTCACGCGTCACAGGGGGTCCGAAATCGACGAAATTCTAAGGGGTCACAGGTCACAGGGGCCAGCGACGAAACCACCAGGTCAGTCGGAAAATAAGCAAAATTGGGGGTCCTTTTTCATTAGAAATCGATTTTTTCCCCCTCTAAGTCTCTCTAGCGAAGTTATCTGAACTATTTAAATTTATCTATGGACAGAGGGCTACTCCAACATTTCGACGAAATTTTCAGGCAGTCACACCTTCCCCGGTGATGCGACGAAACCAAAATTTCGTCGCATCGGTCACAGGTCACAGGGTGCGACGAATTGATTGGATTAGTACAGTAGATATATATTTCAAATTACAAACAGCTACGAAACATTACTAGATGATGCTAGTCAATAAGCATGTCACCATCATCGCCTGTTTCCAAGCTCTCCTTGTGCTCCCGCCACCAACCCAATAGAGCCAACCCTGCCCACCCACCACCACCGAGGTGTTGTCCCGCGGTGCGGACACCACCAGCCTGTGTATACATTTGTTTTACGGAAATATGGGAAGGCATGCGGGAGTGTAGCCATGATTGACGCAAAAGACAGGCCATATGAAATGGCGAAGGTGGTGGACAAGAACAGTGGGCTATAGGCCTTGTATTCTACCTCGTTGAAGGTGGAGTCGGCATTGATGATCCTGGAGACGTTCTAGACTTTGCCGAAATGATCGAACGATCTGTGGGAAGAAATTCTGAAGAAAGGGAGTAAGCATACATGGCACCAAAGCTGTAGCTTTGATAACTCACGGCATGTACTTGCTGCTCCAGGCATTCATATACTAATTGTGTCGCCAAAAATGTCCTTGAGGACCGCAGATTGAGACAATCACCAAGGCTGTACCAGGAAGCGACGAGTGATACCACCAATCGAGAAACCGATGAGCTGGGTGGACATGACGATCATCCATTGGTCTAGAAAAGATGCTCAGAGAAATGAGGTGTGGGTGGCATACATGAACACTCACAGCTGAAATTATACGTCTGGTTGGAAAAGACCTTCTTGACGGCGACGATATCTGTCACGTATGCACTGCCGGCACCAACTGAGGCCATAATAGTAGCAAGCACCTGGAGGACGTGGGTTAGAGCTGCTGTAACACAATCAGCATACTCACATGTTCCTTCATGGAGAATGGACCAGGGTTGAGCTCGAAGCCAAAGATCTTAACGTTGGGCACAATTCTGGCCCAAAGTCTTCCCATAGGGAAGATCAAAAGTTGGGCAACAATCTAGGGACAAAAAATACAGTAAGGCTAAGGACAGGAAACAAACGTAGAAAACTTACAGCAGTAACCTGGACGGAGGGATAGCGGAAGAAGAAGAATTGATTTAGGCCAGGGACGATGATGGCCCAGATCAAGGCAAGAACCCAGGCGTGGATGGTGTTCACAGGAATGTCGGGGTCATCTGTGTTGGCGACGGTGGACTGAACCTCTGGGTAAGGGGAGTCATCCTCTGGAAAAGAGACAATCAGGGGAAGTTGAAGACAAGATGACTGGGTTACCCACCAAGGACGCGTGCGATAGCCTCTTCCTTGTCGATGTTGGGCCATCAAGCGCCCAGGTCAAATCCCGCCCTCCATTCGGGAATAGTGCGACAAGGCCCCAGAACCTGACGGCGACCAGGGCGCCTCTGATGAAGGTGGCCGTGAACCCTGCGAGGGACTTGCACAGAGCGAGGGGAAGGCGGAGGATGGGAAGGTGTGCTAGGAGCTTGCTTGTGCTGGAGCCATAGAGGCGGCCGAATGTGGACACAGCTGTGTAGGCCCATGAGAGACTAGAATGAGGGAGGTTAGACAGTGGGTAGGATGGGTGAGGAAGGGGGATACGTACACGAGGATGGCTGTGGCGACATCTTGTGGGTATAAGGAGAGACTCTGAGGATGTACCATACCACGCTGTTAGTTGAGTCCTGCGAAGAGTTTAGCTTGCAATGTGGGACATAGGAAGAAGTTTGAGATTACCTATTCGCTTTCGCACATGGGAGGTGCTGCGTGTGGATACCAGGATAGTGAGTGAAAGACTTGAGGGAAAAGCAACAGGGAAGATCGTGGTTGAAAGGAAAGAGCGAGAATTTTTTTTTTACCATCATGTGACATCGGGTCGTGAGCTGAACGTGAATTTTTGTCTGACTCCAAGTCACAAAGTATGTTCAACCCCCCTTGTATTGGCATAGTGTTGCCGCGGCTTCGGCTTTTAGCTGGTTCAAGCCACAGCTGAGCTGAAATTAAAGCCGAGCTGAGCTGAGCCGATTGATCTGGCTTGGCTACTGCTTGAGCCGGCTAGAGCCGGGATTTTCAGCCTCATCAACCACACATGCTAGCTCATTCGAAACAAATAAAATTGGCTTTTGTCTGTACATATTATTCAACTAGTATGTAATAGAATATACTCTAAATGAACCTAAGATTATAGAAAATAGCTAAGAATTGCCTGAGACGGTGTGACAGAGTCACACCCCCCAAAACAGAAAATGTAATATATCTCTGGAACGCAGACACACGATCCTCTCGTCTCTTCAGGACCTTCAAACTACACTAGAATATGTTTTAAACAAGACATAGATCATAAGAAATGATGGAAAATTGACTGACCTAGGGTACTTGCTCCCCAAAACAGAAAATGAAACATAGCTCCAGAACGCGGACATGCAAACCTCTAGTCTCTTCAGGACCTTCAAACGACACTAGAATACGTTTTAAACAAGACATAGATCATAAGAAACGATAAAAATTTGACTGACCTAGGGTACTTGCTCCCCAAAACAGAAAATGGAACATAGCTCCAGAACACGGACATGCGAACCTCTCGTCTCTTTGGGACCTTCAAACGACACTAGAATACGTTTTAAACGAGCCCTAGATCATAAGAAACGATGGAAATTTGACTGACCTAGGGTACTTGCTCCCAAAACAGAAAATGGGACATATCTCCAGAACGCAGACATGCGAACCTCTCGTCTCTTCGGGACCTTTAAACGACACTGAAATACGTTTTAAACGAGCCCTAGATCATAAGAAACGATGGAAATTTGACTGACCTAGGGTACTTGCTCCCCAAAACAGAAAATGGGACATATCTCCAGAACGCAGACACGCAAACCTCTCGTCTCTTCAGGACCTTCAAACGACACTGAAATACGTTTTAAACGAGCCCTAGATCATAAGAAACGATGGAAATTTGACCGACCTAGGGTACTTGCTCCCCAAAACAGAAAATAGAACATATCTCCAGAACGCGGACACGCGAACCTCTCGTCTCTTCGGGACCTTCAAACTACACTGAAATACGTTTTAAACGAGCCCTAGATCATAAGAAACGATGGAAATTTGACCGACCTAGGGTACTTGCTCCCCAAAACAGAAAATAGAACATATCTCCAGAACGCGGACACGCGAACCTCTCGTCTCTTCGGGACCTTCAAACTACACTAGAATAGGTTTTAAACGAGCCTTTAATTAAGGATGATGATGGAGAACTCACAAAGATAGAGTACACCCTCCTGATGAATCATGAAACTTAGCATGACAGATATCTCAAAAATATGATGGCAGATGCCTCTCGTCTCTTCAGGCCCTAAAATCGACATCAAATAGCTGGTAATCAACACTTATTTGGTAGAAAACGGTACAGAACTGACCAAGATACAAAATAGCCTCATGGTGTCTATCCAGCACCTATTACATGTTTCTTAGGGCTAATATTGGGCTATTCTGGTACCCATTCTTACATTATACTATGTGGAGTTCATTTACAATTGATATGGTACACTACTCAAGTTTACGGTTAAATATAAATTGGGGGAGAAGAGGAGAAGGAAAGCAAAAGAGATGTGACAGATGCTGATGCGCTATATATCAGAGGCACTTAGGGTGG